ACTATGCTCACTGAAACATGATGTTTGGAAGATGTACTGTGTTGACAGCATACCTCTTGCTACTGTAATTTAATGAGAAAACATTTCTGGAACATTTGACTTCTATTAAGAACTATGTGAAGATAATAGTTCTTTAATCTTGCAACTCTTTGCAACATTCATACAATGCACCAATTTTATGATTAGAAAGGTACTATGAAAACATTACAACTCATCTTCAAGCAAAATAAATTTTAAAAATTATAGGAAAAATAAGTGCCTACCTCATTTCTGTATGGCTTTACATAGACTGTCCACCGATGGGTGTGGCCATCCTCTTCTCTTTTCTTCCCAAAATACCGAGCAACATTACCACAAACTATTGGTTTAACAATAGTAACCCCCTAAAACAAAAATAATTTAAAGATCAACAATTATTGTCATTACCCAACAAACGGAATGAGAGTTTGGAAAGCTGTTTTAAGGAATGGCAGGTAGTCGAACAAACTAGAGTTTGCTTCTGAAACCATAACTAATCAGAAACTCAAAACCCACAATATTAAAATATGTTGCATAGGAAGGGGTTTTTAGAAAATTGATTTAGATAAAAATATTAATCACAATTGGATTCAAATAATGGTGAGTGGCACTTGATAGCTGAAACTTGGTAAAAACTGGTGATGGTTTGTTTGCTACATTAGTGCTCACTTCTGAGATGTACATATATGTTTCTCAGCATCTGGCAAATATAAAGGCAATGAGTAATTGATAGATTATGAAGGAAAGGAGAGAAAAATTGAGTGAAGAGAAAATACGGGATGATGCACATGAACTTGAAATCAGCTTTGCAAGAATATACCTGTAGAACAGAGAGCAAGACATAACACACATGAAAAGTGCTGTGCCAAGCTAATCAATAATAAAAAATGAGGAAAATGAACAAAATGCAAAACTTTTCATTGTGACTGAATAATCAGCAATTAAAATGAACACCTCTTAGCCTAAAGCTAGGTCAGAAGATAGCAAGCAGTTTTTATGAAAACTGAAAAAAAATATGGATATGCTATTGACACTTTTGTGGCAAGCACAGATGGAGCTGTTTCAAGGCCTGACAGAATGAGTACAAGCAGCACTGACATGGTGGATGTATAATCCAACCCCTAGCAGCTACCTTCTTTCAAGAACAGTATTATTTGTCATTTTAAAGACAGGCAAGTTTTAAAAAATAAGGGTTTTTTTTAAAAAAATTTATTTATTTATGCAAACAAGAACTGTGGTACAGGCCAGAGTTGTGGGGGGGTGAGAGGATTCACCAGAGACAGAGTGGGGAACAGAACAGGCAGATTGACTGAAATACACTGCTGAGCGGCAGGCGAGTCAGGAGAGGTCTGCTTGACTATGTGGGCAGCTCCCTGGCCAGGGATCGAACTTGTGCTGCAGTGCCTATGGATAGCTTCATAGGTTTTGTCTTAACCACTTGAGCCACCAGGGAGGCCCCTAAAAATTAAGGTTTGAACTAATTCTTATTAACCAAAAAGTATTCCAGTGACTTCTTAAACATTTTGGGTTAGTTGCTACTATATTCTTGAGTTGAGAATTTATGTGTGTCATCTATACCCCAATTATATATGAATTCTAATATTAGACAAGACAAAGTAAGGAAAGGCATATCCTTACTTTTCACAAAATTCTCTCTTTATACACTTTTTTCCTTAGATTTTCCAAATTGTTAACCCTTACATACTAATATTTTGGAATAAACTATTTTCTTACAAGATGTTCTCTGAGTTTTTCCTCTCAGATTCTCTCAAAGACCTTTTCATAGTGTAGGGTAAGGAAAAAGTAGCAGGCTTTTCTGCCCTCCTGCCATTAGGATAGACGAGGGAACCCTGTGGTCCTGAATGCATGCCTGATGGTGGGCACCTGAAGTGGGTACACCTGGGTTGAGAGACTGAATTTATAAGGGCGGTGTGGCAGGGACACTGCAGAAGCCAAGAACGAAGAAGCCAAGAGAAGCAGAACCACGAGAGAGCAGAGCAGCAGAGACCAACAGAGAACGCCGGAGAGCCCAGACAGAGTGAAGACTTACTGGGGGCTGGGAGGCCTACCAGTCTCCCGGCCCCCCAGTATTCCTGCCTGCCCTGTACCTGGTAAATCCCAATAAAAGCCTGCAAAAGCCACTGAGGGCTCTAGAACTCTCCTCCTTTATCCCTTCTGCTGGATCAGAAAACCTGCTCAGTGGCCTGTCCTGCCTCTACAAGACTTCTAAAAAAGCTACTGACTTCCCAACTGTGTTGTCCATCTTCATAGTGCGGGTCCAGATATTCCCAGATGTAGGAGGAGGTAAAGAAAATCTCCATTTTCCTAGCTTACCTAATTTTCCAAATTGTTCTTTTCCTTAGCATATCCAGTGGGGTGCCTGCAGATAGGCTGCCTGGAATGCCCTACAGCCCCTTTTGCTCCTTCAGTGAGCCAAATGGGCTCCACTCAACTCACTCAAGCGTTCTCTACCCTGTCTTTCCTGACATTGAAAGTAAATTCAAGCCAAGCCACAAGAATAGTGCCAGTTACCTTCCTGGAGGTTTTTATTACTTTTTTAAAATTAATTTATTTATTTATACAAGCACTGGGCACAGTCAGAAGCGCGGGAGGGTGAGAGAATTGACCAGAGCCAGAACGGAGAACAGAGCAGGCAGAATGACGAAGTACACTGCTGAGGGGAAACAGCGGGCGCGGCAGGAGAGGTCTGCGCTCCATGTGGGACCCTCGCCCGGCGGCCGGGGATCCAACTGGCGCTGCAGAGGCTGTGGGCAGCTTTGCAACCCAGCACTCAACTGCTGCGCCACTGGGGAGACCCAATTCCTGGAGGATTTTAGAACAAAAGAGTTCTTGAAACTCCTGGGGTCATTTAGGGTGGTCAGCAGCCTGTCCTGTTAAGGTCAGGAAGACCACAGGGCAGGTTTTCTGATCCCATGCAGACCGGGTAAAGGAGGAGTCAGAGTCCTCAGTGGTTTTTTGCATGCTTTTATTGGGGTTTACCAGGCATATGGCAGGCAGGGGTGCTGGCTGGGGGGCTGGGAGGCTGGCAGTCCTCCCAGCCCCCAGCAAATCCTCACTCTATCTGGGCTCTCTGGCCTTCTCTCCGCTTCTCTGCTCTTCTGTTCGTTCTGCTGCTCTCGGCTTCTCTTTCAGCTTCTACTGGCATCCCCGTGACGCTGCCCTTAAAAACACCGTCTCAGCCCAGGTGAATCCCATCTACCTCTACCCACACCCTATTCCAGGTGCCCGCCATCAGGCATGCATTCAGGACCGCAAGGATCCATCATCTATCCTGATGGCGGGAGGGCAGAAAAGCCTGATACCTTTTACCTTACCCTACACCTGTCATCAAGAAAACTGGAGGAAGGGTCTCAAGAGACAGAGGCCCCATCCCTTCCTGGTCACCAAATTGTTACCAGTTCTGAAGGGCCATTGTCTTTCACCAACTAACCACACAAAAACTTTGAAAGCCAGTTAAAGGTTTCAATATAGAACATTTATTGTGGATAAACAATAGGGGAGGGAAGGGCCTCCCTGGTGGCACAAAGGATTAAGTCTCAGCACTATTGACAGCCACTGCAGCACAAGTTCGATCCCCAGCTAGGGAGGTGACCCACATGGCCCAGCAGACCTCTCCTGTCTCACCCGCTGCTCCCCTCAGCAGTGCATTTCCATCAGTCTGCCTGTTCTGTTCCCCACTATGTCTCTGGTGAGTCCTCTCACCTCCCACATTCTGCCCTGTACCTCAGCTTTTGTATGCATAAATAAAATAAATCTTCAAAAAAAAAATAGGGGAAGGGCCCCCCCAGTGGCTCAGAAGGTTGAGCACAGTGCTGTGGAGCTGTCTGCAGCCCCTGTGGCGCAGGTTCCATTCCCAGCCCACAGGGGATTCCCACATGGCTCAGCAGACCTCTCCTATAGCGCCTGCTGCTCCGCTCAGCAGTGCTTTCGGTCTACCTGTTCTGCTCCCCACTCTGTCTCTGGTGAATCTTCCAGTGCCTCTGGCCTTTACCCCAACTATTGTATAAATAAGAAATAAATCTTTGAAAAAAAATTCATCCTCTAAAAAAAAAAAAAATAGGGGAAGAGGGACAAGTGTCCCGAGTAGAGAGGAATGGGGGTTCTGGTTTTATGTGGTTGATCACCAGGACTGGGCAGCAGCATATTGGCCGTCAGGTTTTGTAAGCAAGGCATCAGAACCTTTGAGAACACACAGACGCTTTACATGATCTCAAGTTTACACCCTTTCTTCCTTACTCTGAAGGGAAATGCATCTCAGTCCATCAGGTTCCCAACAAGTGAAAGGTAGAAGGAACTAGCACCAGGTTAATCCAGTAACACAAAGAGCAAGCCAAACACAGGGGCCCTGTAACAGTATGTGGATTGTTTCTCTAGCTCTTACTAGGTTTAGGGGGACAAAGAAATAAGATTGATAAACAAATAGATCTATTTCAAGGCATGAGATAGCATCTACAATTCCATAAAATAAATTCTTCTAGAATGTTGTCACGGGAGTAAGTTGCTAAACACAGGCAAAGGTGAATAGGGGTTTAAGAAATTTAGAGGCGGGCCTCCCAGGTGGCGCAGCGGTAGAGCGCTGGGTTGCAAAGCTGCCCGCGGCCTCTGTGGCACCGGTTCGATCCCTGGCTGCTCCCCGGCCACCGGAGGAGGGTCCCACATGGCGCGCAGACCTCTCCTGCCGCCCGCTGCTCCCCTCAGCAGTGTGCTTCGGTCCTTCTGCCTGCTCTGCTCCCTACTCTGGCTCTGGTGAATTCTTTCACCCTCCCACGCTTCTGACTGTACCCAGTGCATGTATAAACAAAAACAAACAAACAAATAAATAAATAAACATGCCTCTATTAAAAAAAAAAAATCTTAAAAAAAAAAAAAAGAAATTTAGAGGCAAATTTAGAAGAAATAGTAAAAGTACCAAATCTTTTTATTTCCCCAATATTTTTTTTTCTTCAGAGATCAGATGGGTTTGAACAAACAAAGACAAGGTATGAGTTGCAAAGCCTTTAATGAAAAAATGTTTTTCTTGTTTACAACATGCGTAATTTCACATCTGTGATTAATTACAATTATTTCAATTTCTGCAAATTCATCTGCCTCTGTGTTTAGTGACAATGCATGACTCTAGGTCAATAACACTAAACCAGCAACAGCTCAACTATCTTTTCTATTCATTCATAACAAGCCAGATGCATAGAAGAGTTCTTTGAAGGAAGAAAACAGATTGATATAGAAATTGTGATTTTTATTTCTAAAGCTATAAAAGCAACATTTAAAAACTCCTTTCCATTAACATAAAGGCCACAACTACCAATCTCTTCAAGAAAAGCTGTTCTGTATCTTGGGCTTCCTGTGAGGCCACTGTGGAACGTTGATCTTAAAATCCTTAGGGCTAGAGTGCCTAGAAATGTACTGGATGTATTGGATAGTCTAAAATTTCACAAACAGTCATTCTGTTAGTAAACTGAAAATTCTTGTAGGCTTCATATAAAATGATAAACACATTGGTAGATATTAAATCTCTTAGGGGAAAGACCGTATTTTGTTTCTATTTCTGTTTAAATGCAATTTGTTTGAAAAAAATGGTATTGTGACCTTCTCCTCAACTACTACTCCCTTAATATGCAAAGAAACAAAATGAGCTGAAGAAGGGAAATTGCAGTTAAACTCCACAACCCCTTATGTACTGACTGACATCTCTGTTTTGACAACGGTTTGTCCATGCCACCCTGTAAAGGAAGGAGAAACAGTGATCAGCTTAAACTCATCTTCACTGTAATACAGACACTTTAAATCCTTTGGGAAAATAAACTCTTTCATGTAAATGAAATACAGGCTAGATCCTGGTTTGATATTTAAAAAATGGAAAAATGTAAACCAAGTACTTCATTTCCCCCCCAAGACTTCACTAGAGCATAGAGTGGTGAACAGCTATGTGCATTTGACAACAGCAACTGCTAAGTGCATTCCTTAGTTCCAAAAATAATTTCAAGATACAAGAAGGAGCTGGAGAGTTATAAAAATTCGGAAATACCCTAAAATAAGTTGAGGCAGGTCCTCGGTGGCACAAGGGGTTAAGACAAAACCCACAAAGCAATCTGCAACCACTATAGCATGAGTACAAACAAATCCCCTGCCAGGGAGCTACCCACATGGCACAGCAGACCTCTCCTGACTCCCGTCAGCAGTATATTTCAATCAGTCTGCCTGTTCTGTTTCCCACTCTGTCTCTGGTGAATCCTCTCACCACCACACCCACCCCACACCTCTGGCCTGTACCCCAGTTCTTGTATGCATAAATAAACTCCCCCCAAAAAATAATAAATTGAGGCATAAAGGAGTAAGATTCTGAATCAGTAAAAATAGACTGTTTCTAGGTAGTACATTATTTAGCAGAAGTCTAAAGCTACAATTTTAAGTTCTCAGTAGCATACTTTGGATTCTGAAAATCTTCTCTCACAATAACTAAGTACAATAGCTTTCGCTTTTGATGTAGAAAACCTACCATGCTCTAATGCCTTGTGGGTCTCTGACAACCCTCTTTGCACATTTAACAGCCTCAGTGATGTCATCTCGAAGTAAAACTGAAAAAGAAGTGGGAAGGAGGGAAAATAACTTTCTTAGACATTCCATTTTAAGTTTAGGGTTAGCCAGCTTTATTCATTTAGGCTAAGGAAAGAACACTGAAATTATTTTCCAGGCGTCTGTGAATGTTGAGGGAAAACTAAGCACTGTTAAAAGCAAAAAAACAAAAAAACAACAAACCAGCTATTCTACTAGTTGAATTTACCCTAAAGAAGTAGCAAGAAATGCACCCGGGACCTCCCTGGTGGCTTGGGGGTTAAGCCTCACGGCTATATTGCCTGAGTTCGCATGAGTTAGATCCAGGGCCAGGGAGCTAATCCACATTTGGCACAGCAGACCTCTCCTGTCAGGCCTGCAGTGTATTTCAGTAAATCTACCTGTTCTGCTCCCCACTCTGTCTCTGGTGAATCTTCCCACCCCTCATACCTCCGGCCTGTACCCAGCTTTTGCATGCATGCATAAATAAATCTTTTTAAAAAATTAGAAATGGAGTGTCATGTTTCTAATTCGGTTTAAAGTCATTCAGCAAGTCTGCATAAAAGAAATGAAAATGACAAAAGGGTAACGACTTTAACATAATGTAATGGGCATGTGCATATGGCCATTTATGACACAGATACCTCTAATTTTCTCTAGATTTAGAACATTTTATAATAAAAAGTAAATACAATTTTAAAAAAGGACTAAGCAACCAAATTATCCTTTAAGTTCCGCAAAGTAAGTTGGAGGAATTGCACTCTGATTGACAAAATATCTGTAAGTCCATTTATAATAAATTAATAGGTCATCCCAGGAATATTCATGTATTAGAAAACAGCAAGCTTTTATTATAGTGACTCTTTAATTTCTTATATAAGGATTTATGAGAAGAATAACAGTTTCTAGAAGTTGAGGTGGAGTTTTTCTAGGTCAAGACTTTTCCATTTACACTGAATCTCTATCTTGTCTTACAATACAGCTATTGTCTTACCATTGCAGGAAATACCACAGGCATTGACGGCCCCTGGGGTTTTTCCATCATTACACCACCAGCGGCTATTGATCTGAAATATCCCATAATCGGTGCTTCTGCCTCCTGGATTATAGTTTGTAGCTCGTGTGTTATAACCACTTTCCCATTTAGCCAAGCACATCCCTGAAAAGAATGTATTTTTAGTAATAAACAGCAACAGGTGAGTTATACTGCATATCATAATCAGCTCTATTTAGCTAATTCTATTTTTCTAGTAACTTATATAAGTATAAAGAAGTATTTTATTTGTAACTATCTTAATACTTCAATGTTGAAAGTTCCTTAATAGAATCCTTTTTGCAAATCATTTTTAATACCAACGTAGCAGGATAACACACTTAAAAATATTAAAATAACTGTTTCTGTTATTGCCATTTCCCTTTCTGACTCCGCACCCTCAGGCAAGATTCAGCCTAGAATAGAAAAATCAACAGAGTTGTTGAGTGAATTTTGCAATGAGTGGCAAATACATATGTTGATGGAAAAATGTTATTAGGAAAAATGAGGATTTTCTGAGAGATACGTTTTCTTAGAACACTTGAAATTAATTTGGATATCAAATTAGAATCTGGAAAACAAGTGACAGGAAAGGGTAGGCTGTTTCACTCATTCCCATATACATCCACACATTCATTCAAAAGTATTAAGAGTTGAGGGGAAATGTTTGAATTCAGTCTAAAAAGTACAGTGATTACACTGACAAATATTGATTAAATATAACAAAACTTTCATTCAGGGCACATCATGAATTGGATGGAGGAAACTGAAAAGTATTAATTAACTAACTGGGAGTAAGAGTAATAGGACATTTCATGCTGCATTTCTGAGTTCCCCTGACAGTGACTGAGAGGAAATAGATTCTTACTGCCCTAGTACTAAGAGTGCAACATAACTTTGCTGTTAAAAATCCCACTTCATGGAAGGGGAATGAAAAAGGAATCACACTCTATTACTCTAGGCTCGCAGAATCCAAATGCCCGAATGGAAATGACTCGAGTCAAGTACTAGAACTTAACAGAGATGTCTTGAGTTCCCAAATGCAGCTCTCAGTCAGCCTAGCTGTGTTGAGTCAGGGACAGCGGGCACCAGAAGGGTACAGGGGCCCTGGCTCACTCCCTGTGCCCTCCTCATTCCTTCATTTGGCAATTCTGATTCTAAAGGAACAAGGTGATGTTTGTTTGCTTTTTAATATTTGGTTGAGGTAATATTGCGGTACCCATCAGGTATCACCACCAGGCACTTACCCATATTTCACCACGCATTTACTAACATTCCTCCACCATAGACCCATTGTGCTTCCTTTCTTCTTTCTTCTTACCCTTTGTCCCCTCAACTGGATGTTTTTGAGGAATGTAAGAAAACAAGCTTTCAAAAAAATTTTAAAAGCCCATTCATTCAAATCGCCACTCTTACTGTTCATCTTCTAATATCTTACCCACACTTGGCTTATGGAAGTATGAAGTGGACTTACAATTTGCCAGGCTGACTCCCCTGTAGCCATCCATTCCAAATCTTTTCAGAGCTCTGGCCAACTCGCATCTTTCAAAGACCTTGCCTTGGACAGTGATGGCAAAGAGGAGAAGTCCGAGAATAAGGAAAGCCTTCATGTTGCCTGGGAAGCCAGATCTCCTGCTGAGCATCCCCAGTCATCCCTGGTATTTAAAGGGTTTAACTTCCTCTTCCTCTTAGTGGTTTGGCAGCTCTACCCTTTGAGATGTAAGGAAAACAGGAAAGGTGGTGGGTTGACTAATTTTTAAAATTTTTTTTTCTCAAATTAATCTACATGGAAATGATGAAATGGCATTGTTGAAAGAATTCGCCCATGAAGAAGTGGGAAGTAGCGCTGTTTCCAAAATAGGAACTTTCTCCCACTTTGAGAAACTACAAGAAATTGAGAAAGTATAAGAATTTGAGAAACTATATGAATTTGAGAAAGTATAAGAAAAAAAAGCAAATGAATATTTTACACAACTGAAAACAAACTCTGACCTTTGATTAACACTCATTTTTATAAATTTTTTCTATGCATTTAATATGGCTAGTCATCATTTTCACTTAAAATTATATATATATATTATATATATATATGTATTCCACAGATGCAACCTACGAAGATATCCACAGACATTGCAGCACAAGTTCGACCCCTGGCCAAGGAGGTAGGCCAAGGTGCTACCCACATGGCATAGGAGACCTCCCCTAACACGCCCACCGCTCCCCTCAGCAGTGTATTTCATTCAATCTGCCTGTTCTGTTCCCCACTCTGTCTCTAGTGAATCTTCTCACCCCCCACACCTCTGGACTGTACCCAAGTTCTTGTATGCATAAATTAATGGATCTTAAAAAAATATTTTTTTTAAATAAAAAATTAAACAAAGGATCCCAGTCCATGGGTCTTGTCATCCCTATCTTTTTAGGTTTTTTAGGACAATAGTTAGCATTTTGAGCCCTAAATATGTACCATGCAATCTCATAATACTTTGCATGTGGTATCTCAATTCTTACAACAACTCTATGAAACATGAATTACTGTCTCCATGTAACAGAAGAGGAAACTGAAGCATAAAGATTTAAGTAACATCTGTGTTCACAGTGGTAGTGAGCAGCTGGGCTGGGACCCAAACCCCTAAACGCTGCACCATCAAGCTATAGATCCTTCCAGGCGCATGAGTAAGCATGTGATTGAGGCTGGAAATACCCAAATTCTCAGGCCCAGTGACATTTTCTCTACTTAGTGGTAGCCTGCAGAAGTTTCTGGTTAGCCATTATTGGCAGTCAAATACCTTAAATGTATATTAAAACCTTTGTGTTTTCACTTTGTGGTGATTTAAGAAAATGAATTAGAATATTCAGGATCATTAGGAGAGCCACCAGTTTACATCTGATTTTATATTTACAGATATTTAAAGGTCATTAATGGGGCCTCTCCGGTGGCGCAGTGGTTGAGCGCTGGGTTGCGAAGCTGCCCGCAGCCTCCGCAGCACCAGTTCGATCCCTGGCTGCTCCCCGGCCACCGGAGGAGGGTCCCACATGGCGCGCAGACCTCTCCTGCCACCCGCTGCTCCCCTCAGCAGTGTACTTCGGTCCTTCTGCCTGCTCTGCTCCCCGCTCTGGCTCTGGTGAATTCTCTCACCCTCCTGCGCTTCTGACTGTACCCAGTCTGCTTGTATAAATAAATAAATAAATAAATCTTTTTTTAAATAAATAAATAAATAAATAAAGGTCATTAATGACAACTTTTGAAGCTCAACACAGGCTGTCTCCACAGTGTCTCATTTTGTGGGCGACTAAAGTGTCTATACCACCAGCGACAATCAAGGTTTTTGCTTTCTTTTTTTTTTTTTAAATAATAAATTTTACTTTTATATTCCCCATACAATTGCAAACCCCCCATTCTGACCCCAATCCCTCCCCTCCCGCCCCCCACCCCCCAAAATGTGTCTCTGGTTCATAGTTTTTTGTTAAGGTTTTTGCTTTCTTAGGCTATCTTTGAGTGACTCTGGATCTTGAGAGGGCTATGTCCTTTGCACCCCTTTGGGGGACACCTCTTGTGCCCACGTTGAACCACAAAAGACTTATAGGTTTGGAGTCACCATTAGAAATGGTATTCCTTTGAAGATGTGGGTTTCTATATCTAAAAGGACTTTTTACAGTGCTCTAATCCTAAACAAATGTCCTATTTGTATTCACTGGAAGAGCAAACTGAGGGAAAAAAAGTAAATATAGAAAAATGCCTTCACAGGGGTCTCCCTGGTGGAGCAAGGGGTTAAGACGCAACCTACGAAGCTATCCACAGCCACGGCAGCACGAGTTTAATCCCCGGCCAAGGAGCTACCCACATGGTGCAACATACCTCTCCTGACTCCCCTCCTGCTCCTGTAAGCAATATATTTCAGTCAAGCTGCCTGTTATGCTTCCTACTCTGTCTCTGGTGGATCCTCTCACCCCCCACACCTCTGGTCTGTACCCCAGTTCTTGTATGCATAAATAAATAAATCTTTAAAAAAAAAAAAAAAAAGGAAGAAGAATGCCTTGGCTAGTAGTGTAAGGGGAAAAAAAGAAAAAATCCAAAAATGCTTCCGTAGCAAGAACAGCAGGTACATATCAGACTTATAGTAAGTTCAAAAACTATAAAAGGTGCTTAAGCAGGTGTGGAACTTATATAAATACTGATAATCAGGAAATTGCTTTTATAAATATCCAGAACACACAAGAAGGCTACAGTTATTGCCTCTTATTCTATAAGCAGAATCACCCATGATCTGGCCTTCCTGTAATTTGTGTTTCCACTGCCAAAAAAAAAAAAAATCATCAGACAATTGATTGTCTTTGTCTTGAGGAAAAAAAAAAGGTCTGTGAATATTATTTACCCTAGATTTCTGATAATAGGTAAATATGCCAATGAGTTCCTTCTTAGATAAAACTTGCAGTCTTTTTCAGTCCCCTGGAAATATTACTCTTTGAAATGTAAACATCTAAGAAAATAACGACCAAAATAGCCCGATTTTGGAGGGGAAAAAGAAGAAAACAGAAAAGGTTTTTAAAAACCCAAATGCTACTTTGATATATCGATGCCATTCATCACACAAAATACAGTGCATAGCCTCTATAAGATTATTTAATAAAGGCAAGTTAAAAAAAATGAAGTCGTCTTCAGAACTATTGGTAAAAAGTTTTATCTATCTGAGGGGGTAGCCTTATCTTGTTCTAGCTGCCAGAAACACCATTTAGCTCCAACTAGTCTTTTAAAAGCTAATGAGTTTTTTAAATTAATTTTTAAAAATTTACAAAAAAGGGCCTCCCTGGTGGTGCAGCAGGTTGAGCGCTGTGCTGTGAAGCGTGCTGCATCCTCTGCAGTGTGGGTTCGATACCGGCCAGCGGGCGGGATCTCACATGGCGCAGCAGATCTCTCCTGTCATACCCGTTGCTCTCCTCAGCAGTGTATTTCTGTCATCTGCCTGTTCTGCTCCCTGCTCTGCCTCTGGTGGGTACTCTCACCCTCCCAAGCCTCTGGCCTGTACCCCAGCTCTTGTATAAAAATACATACATCTTTAAAAAAAAATGTGTTTCAAAAAAAATTTACAAAAAATATTTTTTGGAAGGCCGCTCCCTGGTGGCGCAAGGGGTTAAGACTCAGCACTATGAAGCTATTGGCAGCCAGTACAGCATGAGTTCGATCCCTGGCCAGGGAGGCAACCCACATGGTGCAGCAGACCTCTTCTGACTCCCCCGCTGCTCCCCTCAGCAGTGTATTTCAGTCAAGCTGCCTGTTCTGCTTCCCACTCTGTCTCTGATGGATCCTCTCACCCCCCACACCTCTGGTCTGTACCCTAGTTCTTGTATGCATAAATAAATCTTAAAAAAAAAAAAAAAAGAAGAATGTTTTGGCTAGTGTAAGGGGAAAAAAAGGAAAAACACAAAAATGCTTCTGTAGTAAGAACAACAGGTACATATCAGACTCACCATAAGTTCAAAAACTGTAAAAGGTGCTAAAGCAGGTATGGAACTTATGTAAATACTGATAGTCGGGAAATTGCTTTGACAAAGCTCCAGAACACACAAGAAGGCTACAGTTATTGCCCCCTATTCTGTAAGCAGAATCACCCGTGATCAGGCCTTCCTTTAATTTGGGTTTCCACTGCCAAAAAAAAAAAAAAAAAATCATTGGACAATTGATTGTCTTTCTCTTAAGGAAAAAAAAGGTCTGTGAATATTATTTATCCTAGATTTCTGATAATAGGCAAATACGCCAATGAGTTCCTTCTTAGATAAAACTTGCAGTCTTTTTCAGTCCCCTGGAAATATTACTCTTTGAAATGTAAACATCTAAGAAAATAACTGTTGACCAAAATAGCCCAATTTTGGAGGGGAAAAAGAAGAAATAAGAAAAGGTTTTTAAAAACCCAAATGCTACTTTGATATATCAAAGCCATTCATCACCCAAAATATAGTGCATAGCCTCTATAAGATTATTTAATAAAAGCAAATAAAAAAAATGAAGTCTTCTTCAGAAATATTGGTAAAAAGTTTATCTATCTGAGGGGGTAGACTTATCTTGCTCTAGCTGCCAGAAATACGATTTAGCTCCAACTAGTCTTTTATAAGCTAGTGGGTTTTTTACATTAATTTTTAAATATTTACAAAAAATATTTAGAGGCAGTTCCCTGGTGGCACAAGGGGTTAAGATGCAGCACTATGAAGCTATTGGCAGCCAGTGCAGCACGAGTTTGATCCCCGGCCAGGGAGGTGACCCACATGGCCCAGCAGACCTCTTCTGTCTCCCCGCTGCTCCCCTCAGCAGTATATTTCAGTTAGTCTGCCTGTTCTGTACCCCACTCAGTCTCTGGTGAATCCTCTCACCCCCCTCACCTCTGGCCTGTACCCCAGTTCTTATATGCACTAATAAAGAAATCTTTTTTTTTTAAGATTTATTTATATATTTATACAACCACTGGGTACAGTCAGAAGCACAGGAGGGTGAGAGAATTCATCAGAGCCAAAGCAGGGAACAGAACAGGCAGAATGACGAAATACACTGCTGAGGGGAGCAGTGGGCAGGACAGGAGAGGTCTGCGTGCCATGTGGGACCCTTGCCAGTGGCTGGGGATAGAACCGGCGCTGCAGAGGCTGTGGGCAGCTTTGCTGCCCAACGCTCAACCACTGTGCCACCAGGGGAGACCCACAAATAAATAAATCTTTAAAAAATA